ATAATGGGTGGCAGGACTGGGCTCCGCCCACAAGGGGCGGAGTTTGTGTGAAAAACTTAATTTTGGACCTAGAGCGTTCAAACTTGGTAGGATTGCAGATTCCGTAGGTAGCTAGGTCTTTTGTGACTTGCGTCTTTTGCCAGCGTATGCGTATGTATGTATGCTTCCTTTTTCTTCTTCTCAACTCGCTCAACTCCATTGTTCCAGAGCAGTCTTGTCATCTCTATGTTCACCTCATTCCTTTGTCGGCTTTCTTTGCGAAGTGAAGAATGATTTCACAGCGTTGCTCCGACTCCTCTGGATCAGTCCTTGGATATCTAAAAAACGTGCTTCCAAAATCCTCTATTGCTTCTTCACGGTTTTCTTCCCTTGTTATGTTTTTCTTTCCCTTGCTCTATTGAGGAGCTCGATGGCTATGTCTGCTAGAAGAGGCCCTTGTAGCAGAGCCAATTCTTGGTCAGGCAATACCATTATATTCTTGTAACGTTTTGATAAGCTCTCTTCCTATGAGCTCCTGGTCGATTTCCGATTGTCTCCTCTCCTCTTTCCCCCATCCATGTGGATTATCTTTTGAGTCTCATTTTCTTTGTAGAAGGTACTGCAAATTCCATGTCTGAAGGCCTCGTAGAGGCTCAGATGAAGCTAATGTTTTACATATTTCGGGTAGCTCTCTTGCTGTGCGTGATGAATATTGTTGCCCAGTACTCCTCTTTCGTGTCTGTCCTCGCAACCATGTTCCGATCGCTTCTCTTTTTAGCAGCGGTAGTACAGTTCTCGATTCCTTGCTACTTTTCAACGTGTCTCTTGAAGATGTGAAACCTTAACTCTCCTACATACACCTCATCAGAGCGGCAGATTTTCGGAATTTCCCGTTAAGCGAAACAACATTCAGAGTTCAAAGTTTGAAATAACTTCTTCTGAGATCGTTCATTCCTCGCTTGGCACTGCACGCACACGAAACTCATGTGGGGTTCCTGTTCGTCACCCCGGGTGACACCCTAGCATTATAACAGGATCCTTTTGTGACTCTGACCATCTTTATTGTGACGAGAGTTTTTCATCAGCCAGCCTCTCAACCTGGGCCTACGTCGGTGTAGTACCGACACCATTTTTTTTGCGTTTTCTACAGGACATGCTTACCGCTTCGGCCGGGATCAAACTCGTGGTTTCTTTTCATTTATTGATCAATGCTATTCATTTCTTCGATTTGCCTAATCAATTTTCAATGGAGTATTTCCACCAAAACCACTTTCACATGAAATCCTACTCAGTAATCCTCTCCTCACCATTAATCATGAGAATATTCGAGACAATGTTGGTTAGAACGTTTTTCCATATTTCTTTCACTTTCCCAAAATTTTCGTCGTCGTTCTTACAACCTCGATCGCGACAATCTCTATGTATCCTCGAAAATTTCGGATGCGAATTTCAAAGGCAAAATTTTAGGCCGAAAGAATCACGCTGGCAGCAACGACGTGGAGACTCGCACTACCACAATCCTATCGAAGTGAGAAATACAAATCTTGTTGGATGTCACGACAATGTCTCCATCCAGTTCATGAAGCGGCGATTTGGAAAATTGACAATAGGAGTGGTTGAAGACGGTAATATTTTTCGTATTTCAGACTCCAGACCGTTCACAAAGGACCGATGGGCAGTGCTGAGCATGTGGATAACCTTCGAAGACGGAAACGAAGATTCTGGGCTAAACCTGGCTTTGGAGATTAATTAATTAGGTTGATGCAAAAGCCTTGGGACGCTCAATGCATCTTTCGAGATCTTTCACAATATTCGGACTTGCAGTCATCAAGTTACATTACTATCTATGACGTCCATCCAGGTCGGCTATCGTCTTCCCTCAAAAAAAAAAGCGCAGTAAATTGAAGAAGCGTGCCACAGCATTTTTGAGGCCAACAAAAGATTTAGTGAGGAACAGCACCACAACTAAGTTCCTCAACTTAGGGTGAGTGATCATGGCGACGTGACAGCGAACCTTATCGCACAAGACGTGCAGTAACCCTTCACGGTCGCTCGCCCTCAATTGCATATGTAAGTTCCTAGAGCTGACTGCTGCGAATAGTAGCTGTAACTATCTGGCTTTGGAGGATCTCCGCCATTTCTTTCGAGTCTTGGAAGCTGCACAGCTTAATACTCCTCAGCCGCCGGCAACTTTTTTGTTGTTGCCATGGAGCATCCACTCTCAACGAATTCTTTGGGAACACATTCTTATTGGGGGTGAAGAGAAGCAAGTGGCTGGCTGAGGCCCGTGTTTGTCGAAGATCGTCATCAGCTGGCAAGAATTTTGCTGTAATCGTGTTCCTGACGTTTTGAACGATGATACTCTGATCGCACACAAGATCCTCCTCCAATCCCTTGCCGGCCTTCGGCATATCCATCACTCTGCTGAGAAGTCGGTCATCACCGATAGCAACTGGTCGTCAGGAACAGGCAAATAAGCGACAAACAGTCACATGGCTGACAAGATCTTCTCTGTTTGCAGTATTGATGTTAGAAGCAGCGGAAAAAAGAACTGGACCCGCGGCGCTTCTGGAGGACAGTCGCTCGAAGTTGATCTATCGAATTTGTTAAATGGTCTACACGAGACTTGCTTGAATACTATCGGCTGTGACTTAGATTGTTCTAGTATATGGTGAAGGCATAAGGGTGGGAAAGGTTATGGCAAAAAAGCGATGATACATGTGAACTCGGCCTCAAGACTTTTGCATCAATCTGCTATAAAAGTTGCTCTCACAATTCAGCCTACTCGATATGAAAACAGTTAGCTATAGGGCGCCTAAGAAGACATTTTGTCGATGTCTGACAATGTCTGAATGGACGGGCGGAAATGCACGAGCAGCTTTTCCTTTTTAAGAATTACTTCCCTCTCATAAGGAGGGAGGGTTCGCTGAACGTACATCAAATTATGGGTAATCTTTGCCAGCTCCAGCTCTTTCCTTACTGGTTCATGTGCTTGCTCGTAAATGGCAACTCACTAGTGAGAACTGAGCTTGTTCTTGCAAGGCTCGGCGATAATTTGATATGCGCTCATTAAACCCACCTTTCTAAGTACTGTTTTTCCCGTACTATTTGCAGGAATGGTTTCTCGATCCTCTTCCTTCCACTCCAGTATCCCGGATGACGGGTGTAATGGTGAGACGATCGTCAAGGGAAATCAGGTCGCTGCTCCGACCACTTCCTGTAGACGACAGCTGTGCATTATGAGGATGGGATAAGGATGAGCTGCGCAATATCAAGAGGTACTTTCTCATGTGAAAATCCTTGGGAAAATTCAGTCACAGCTCTTCTTAGTAGATCCTTTTCAGTGGATACGCATCCATACACTATAGTAACAGGAAACAGTACATTCGGCACTAACAAGACAACTCTTCATTGAGAAGCCTTCGTCTTCAGATAAAATCAACATGTATAGAATCGCTCGGACGGTCAACTTCTTTCGACTGTTGCGTCGTGAGGCGGTCCGAACGGGGACCAGAAGTATACCTCTACTGGTTTTCTGCATATTGCCCACTTTTTTATTGTACTCAATTCAGGTTGGCATCGTCTCCATCGAAACCGTCTTCCTTTTCCTCTAGAAGGCTCTTCGACATAATTCTGAAGCTGTGTGACTGGATCGTTCAGGACTCTCATGTACAGGGACCGGAAGTGTATGGGACTGCGAGGAGCGTCAACTTGGTTTGACGCTTCAGTCGTGTAGCGATCCGAACGGGGATCAGAAGTATGTCCCACTAATGTTCTCTAATGTCAAGTTTTTTTTCAATGCACTCGTTTCAGGTTGACCGTCTCCTTAGAAACCGGCTTATACTCTTATTCGAATATCTTCGATTATTCTCGGAGCTGTACAAATGGATCCTTGAGGACTTTCGCCTACAGATGCCGGATGTTTATGTGTGAGAGCTCCGAGAAGGGATCAACTTCTTTCGACGGTCGTGTCGTGAGGCGATCCGATCGGGGATCAGAAGTATGCCGTCACCAATGTTCTCTATATTACTCACTTTTTCATTGTACACAATTTAGGTTGACACCGTCTCCATCAATGCCGGCTGGCTCACTCTTTTCCTCCAGGAAACTCTCCAATATCTTCTTGTATTTGTGTAATTGGATCATTGAGCGCTTTCTACAAACAACAGCAGCAGTCTACAAACAAACAGTTTGCTCGGATATGAGTAGAACTCCAAGGACGATCAACTTAGTTCGACGCACCTGCCGTGATGCGATCCGAACAGGGATCAGAGGTATGCCAGAGGTATATCAATATTCCCTACATTGCCCAATTTTTCATTGCATTCAATTCAGGTTGACAACGTCCTTGAAGAAAGCGGCCCATATTTGGCTAGAGGGCCCCTTCGCTCGTGTAGTTGTGATTCACAATCATGAAGGCCCGAGACTGGTTCGCCGCAAAATCCTCTCGGTAAGGATGCGCAAAGTTTATCTCGGGTGAACGTTGATGGAAAGATTGCTCGAATCTAAATCCGAAAAGTCGTTGAGCACTTTTCTCCCATCTTGACCTTTTACAGCCAGAGTCTCATTTGGGTTTTTTGCTAGATTTGTGTTCAGAGGTCTACTTCATGTTTCTCAGTAAACCTATATGTTCAGGTCGCCATTGCAATAGTCCACCGGGAAGCAGGCAGCCTCCTATTCTACCGATAGGCGATCCGATCAGGGATCAGGGGTATGCGTCAATTTTCATTTTCTGTTGCATCTTTTTTCCTTAGATTTGACAATTCAGATAGGTATGGCTCGCAACAACCGTTCGTCGCACATCATTCGGATCTCGGACCATCTTCAACTGCCAACTCTGAGCATCGCATTCTGAGAGGAAGAACTCGTTCAGAAAAAAAAATTGCTGGACCGGGAATACTGAAATCAGGAAAAATGCTTTCTCGGTGGTTAGCGGCGATGTGACAACTTCTACGGAAAACAGATTATGGTTAAGGTTCGTTGACATAGTTTTCCAAGAATGGTTCAACTTCCAGTTCAGACTGCCCACTTTTGCAGATCGGGCGTGGGGACGTCGATGGGAGCCAC